CTAAGAAATAGAAGTATTTCTGTGGCTGAAACAAACACATCTCTCATTCTGCCTTCTGCATTGATTGGAGACTGAGAATCAGTTGCATTCTGGTAGAAGAACAATTTACGTTCAAGCTGTTATTATCTAAAGGCATAAATGTACTTTTTGCATAATACTGTTCTTATAGTTGACTAGGTAATGTTTCTAATGCCTGAAGTGCTAATGATTCTTTGAAGAGAGTATTTTTGCTGGAGGTTTTCTGTTACTGTCTGTGTAGTTGCCGGACCTGGAGATTGTAGTTGCATTTTACTAGATGTATGCAGATTTCTTGTTCAGCAACAAGCACTGTCATGCTTGGAGAACTTGCATTCTTACCCCTGAGCTTGGCTCCACTGCTGCTAGAGGGAAAGGTTCAAGAAACCATCTACGGTTAATTCCTGCTTTCTCTGGGCTCTGCTGTGAATGATTACGTTAATGATAATTACTTCTGTGAACTTCATAAGAAAATACTGGGAGATTATCAGAGGTAATTCTGTTCAAGCAGGTAATCCTTAATTATGCTAGTGACCTTATTTGTATATTGGTCAATAAATGTGAATTCTATAAGGTAACATAAAAGCTTTAATTTTGGTCTGAATGTTTTCACTGATTATCAAGAGAAAAAGCGTAGCTTTTTCCTCAGGACTGACATGTCCCAAACCATCTGAATAAAACGCTATATTGCTCCTTGGCCGTGAGAGCAGTGGGCGTATATGGTCTGGGCTGGTCACTTTCATAAGCTCTTGTTTCATATTTATATAGCATCTCTGCCTACATGGGCTTCTGTTTAGTGTCTGGTTTAAGTAATTGAAATAGAGTATTAAATTCCAGGTACAAAGAGAAAAAACGTAGCAGTGACTTTGTCACAGGGGAAGGCATTTTCTTCTAAGTGTAATACATTTAAATGTCTCACTGGCACAATACCGATCTTCATTATGTTTCAAAGGCAAGTACAGAAAACAAGTGGGACAGCAATATAAAGCTATGTTGTGAAAGATATCTTTCTTAACTGGTGGAGACGGACACCTGCCTTTGAATGGTGGAAGTTCTATTTTTCTGCTTTTTAGAAAACAGATTGCGAAACTGACACAATAACATTAGGGCAAAATTTTTGGTACTGACTTGACTGAAGCACTAGAGATCACTAGAGCAGAGCTATATGGTTTTAATTTTTAACTTGTCTTAAGTAACCTTTGTAATTAACGTAAATGTGGTCAAGATTTCAGCCTACACATAGGTTGCAACTTCATTTATTGTTTCAGTGTAGTTCAGAATGAAGCACTGTAGTTCTTCATAATAAAATAACCTTGTAGTTTTTTTACAGTCCAGTGCAGTTCCATGTTATTGGTCAGCTATGTTGTCGATAACGTAAATGGAGAATAGGTTTAGTGATCTTTTGTAACACAGGCCGATATGAGCAATTATGTTTACCAGACAGACACCACAACTGTCCTATTCCTTAGTTTCTGTCTCTGATTTCTCCCAAAATCTGGATGGATTACGGCCAGTTTCACACCAGCCACTACATGTTTTCTTCCCAGGATATTTTTGCACCTTATTTAAAGTGAGATTTGAGGCTTATGCAATATCAACTCCTTTCCCAAGCCCCGCAGAAGATCCTTGCAAAAGGTCCGCTGCCTTACTCTGCACTGTGCATTTCACAGACTTTTCTCTTCAAAGGAAAAACTCTGAGGCCAATAATTAGTTGGAAAAATTCACTAACCTCCTTTGTATTGGGCATTATAGTTCCAGTAAATCTGTGCAAGAGGTTGAGTCCTAGGGTGATGGTTTCTCAATATTTACAAAATCTGCTGGTGTGGGAGATTACAGGCATATGAGAGTGAGAAGATTTGAGAGACTCAGCATGCAAGTGGGACAGCCTGGTGGGGGACAGTGATTCCTTCCTTTGACTATCTGTGCTACTCTTATTGCAGAAATGGCTCCGCTACATGCAGAGCAATTACTGAACTGGCTCACTGTGCTGGTTTTGCCTGGGGTAGAGTTAATTTTTGTCATAGCAGCTAGTATGGGGCTATGTTTTGGATTTAGGGTGAGAACAATGTTGATAATACAGAGGTTTTTGTTATATTGCTGAGCAGTGCTTACACTGAGTCAAAGCCTTTTCTGCATCTCACCCCACCCCACCAGCGGGTAGGCTGGGGGTGCACAAGGAGTTGGAGGGGACACCGCCCGGACACC